AACCCGCGACACGCTCTCAGAATCAGAAGGGGTGACACTGAGTACAATTCCTGCTGCTTTCCCCTCCCATGGCATTTGCGTCTCAGCTCCCACGTCCGTGGGAGGAGACGGGGCTCAGGCTGGACAGCGCTTCCTTTCAGCCGGCTCTAAAGGCTATAAAATTTCTTATATTGAGCTGAAACCGCTCCGTGTAATCTCTGTGGCCACACAGAATCATCTGTTACGACAGCCCTTTAAGCCTCTGGGGGCGGCTCTCATAGCCTCTCAAGTCTTTTTATTTGCAGGTTTGACAAGCTCAGTCCTTTGGGCTGTCTCTGCTCCGTATAAAGCGTTGCAGCTTTCAGTGTGGAGTCTGGGATGGGGCAGACTGCACTTAGAGCAAAGTACACCTTTGAAAGTGTATCTGATTTCTAGAAATAGCAAATGGCCATTTGGAATCAAGACTGTCTGAGGTGAATGACTGAGCTGAGAAAAAAACTTGGTTTAAAGGATTAAATTGAGCAATTTAAAAATCTTGCCCAAAGTGGCAGTGAAAGTAGTTATTCCTTGAAGACATTTTTAAGACCACAATTTTAACAATAGCAACATTACTAGGTGAGGTGTGGAGCCTCCCAAGGCAAGGAGATACTCAGTTCTCTGGAAGCAGGTACATCCCGGTAAAATGCAGACAAAAGTTTCAACAGCGCCACTCACAAATATTGGCGGAATTGTAATAATTTGTGACGTGATTGGAGAGGGACCACCAGTGTGCATTGCAATTGTGTTGTGACTGAAATGTGGCTTGAGATTTAAAATGGTGAAGTCAAGTCTAGCCCCAGCACCCTCCTGAGGTGTTCCCACCCTGAGCCGGTGGCCTCAGGAGGCCAGGCTGGGGCTGGTGTCGGCTGTGGCCCTTGGCCTTGCCCTGCTTGGAGCACTCCCAGTTAGTGCAGCCAGGTCCTGGACTCGCCACAAAGCCTGGATGCCTTTCCAGTAACATCCACGGCTTCAGTGAACTGCCAAGGAGCAGACTGGCCAATCTCCCCCATGAACTCACTGAGCTGTGTGTGTGTTGGAGTTTTGCACAGGGCGCTGTTGGAAACCATAACCGGCCGTTCGGTATTCCAGAACTAAGGCCTGAGGACGGGAGGGGGATGGAGCCAAAGGAACTGCTTTGAACTGGATCCGTCGAGGCAGAGGTCACGTGCAGCAGGTTCAAGGAAGCCCCTCCCGGCTGGCAGGGCCCTTCTTAGGCCGCGGGACACAACCCGCTTCCTTTCAGCTCATTGGAACGCTCTTCCCCGCAAGCCTGACTTTGCAATGACAGTCTTCACCCATTTTTCCTTCTTATCCCTAAAGACAAGTGCCCGGTCCCTGTTAGCTGAGATGTAACTACGGATCAGGGATGAGCCATAGTGAGCGGGGGCAGAACACGAGGACAGGACCGGAGGTGACTCTGTGGGAGACCAGGGAAGCTGTAGAAGGGCAACAAGGACAGTCTGGACGACGTGAGGAGGGGTAGCCCCACACACACACTCAGAGGGACAGTTGGAAGGCGGCAGCCTGGCACCGCTTCACAGAAGGTGCGGGGAGCAGGGAGTTTGCACCACGTGCAAGCAGGGTGTGGACCCAGTGGCCCCCAAGAGGTCCTTGTGAAGAGGTGAGAAACCTGCATTTTCTCATCATCACAGCCCCAACTGATAGGGCGTCAGGAGGAGTAAGTGGTAATATTCAGCACCACTCACCGTGTGTGGCAGGTGGGAAGGACGCATGATTTGCTGAATGAATGAATGAATGAATGAATGAACGAACGAACGAACTAATGAACGTTGTCATATTCAGGCCCACTTTGTTCACCCCCTAAACTTCACAAAAGAAGACAAATTTCAAACAACTGTTTTACACTAGGAACATTTTAATTCAAATCCTTGGGCCTTTAAGATTGAACTGAAAAATAAAGAGCTTTATTAAGTTTCACAAACACGTGGATTGTGAGTTGGGAAGACCATGGCCGAGTGTGACCCGCGCTCGGAGCTGGGAAAGCAAGGCCCAGGAAGGCAAAGTGGGCACCCTGGCTGTCACAGCATGCCCTGCCCGGGAGGACCCCTCTGGAACCTTCTCACTTTGAAATGGTCTTCACACGACAGAGCTTCTTTCCCTCAAGTTCAAAATGCTTAGACACCAAACAAATGGTCAAGTAAAAGGATCAATTCAATCCTAGTTCATAGACCAGGAAACGGTTGGGCAACAGGAGAGCTGGCTGGAAGCCGAACAGAACCTTGTAGCAGCGCCATCCCAGCAACTTGTCAGTGATGTGGGTTCTAGGAGAAATTACATAATTCTGTAAAGGCTGCAGGGACCTGAGTAGCACAGGCCTCCTGTTCAGGGGGAGCCTGCCACACAAAAGGAGTCAGGAATGCCGAGGATGGAAACCGTGCAGTCACCTAAGGAACAGGTGTGCAGGCATGTGAAGTATGCACGCACGTGCACGGAACTCGTTGTTCTGGGAGCCCTTCAAGCCTGCCACATGGAGTCCTTGTTCGTGCAGCCCCACCCCTTTAAAGTATTTCCAGAACTTAGGTGACTCCCCTTGGCAGCTCTGCTTCACACACAAATACTCAGTTTATGAAGTGTGACCTGTTTATCAATGACTGAGTTCCATTAAGCCCAGCTTTCCGCCCGGGCCGGACTATCACAGCTGCCACCTTTACTGTGGGCAGGAGGATGATCACAGAGTCTGAACCTAAGCCACCAAGCTAGCAGCCCCAGCACCCAGAAAGGAGGCCCTAAGGCCTTCCTCAAAACTGGGGGGGTTTCCCCTTTGAAAAGTTCCCTGAACCTCAGAAGCCGTGTCCAGCTGGGAACATAGCTGGCCTCAAGGATCCAGAGGCAGCCGCGGGAATCAGGAAAGCCTGCACTGAACTCAGCCCATGAGGCTGGGAGGGTTCCTCCTGCCTCAACCTTGTTCTAGATCCCAGTGTGTCCAGAGCAGAGGGACCTGTGAGGGGCCGTGGCAGACAGACCTAGGGGACTGCCAAGGAATCAGGAGGTGGAAAGCGTCCCAGGATCGCTCCCTTCTCTCCGAAGGGGTGGGTCCTGCTCCCACCTCCTGCTCCCTAGGGTGACTTGTGGCTCACCCCAGGTAGGAGAATACTGCATTTGCCATTGAGGCTTTCCAGGTCATTTCTGGCAACCACCACGTTCCCCCTTAGAGCTCACTGTTGAATGGAAAGTTCATACAGTTTAGATAAGTCTGAAGTCACTCTTGACCGAACCATGTGGACAGGCGGACGTGATGGTACTGGGCCGTGCGGGCTCTGCCCGGCTCCTGGGGCCTCGGTGGGACCCCCAGCAGGGCCACAGCCAGAGGGAGTGAGCCTGCTGCTGACAGCAGTGATGGGCATTTCTTAAGTTTCATGAATCCGGAATGTGTAGGAAAGAGTTTTGTTACTTTTTGAATAAAGAGACATTTTAGAAGCACTGCAACCATCATACATAAAGGCTGACCGTTTTTATGCTGCCAAGTGTGAGACAGGGAGTAAGCTCGAGTCACCATCCGTGGGGGAGGGAAGCAGCCGCCTGAGGGGATGAGGCCAGGGGCCCTCGGAGGGCCTGGATTTCAGAGTCAGTCCCAGAGTCCTAGTTTTCCCAGGACATGGGCCGCACAGAGCTCTGCCTTCTCTTTTCTCTGATAGCTGACAGCAGGACTTGTCCAGCGAGTAGATTAGAAAAGGATATGGAACTTGTTCCCCATACTTTAAAGCAGGGGAAAAGCCTTGTTGTGATGAGAAGAAACAAAACCTGTTTGGTGACTTGTCATTTCAATGAAAACATGAGCGTTTCCCCACACGCCTCCCCTTTTTCCTGCCACCCAGGAGTGCGGGGGGTCAGAGGCCACAGGTGGGGGAGGTAAGAAAAAACAGAAAACAAGCCAACACAGGGATTTGGCGCAAACATTTAAGAACCCATGGGAGCCGTTTAGGGGAAAATAGTATAAGCTGGTCTTGTGAGGGGGATCAAATACACTCAGAGAGAAACAGTGCCTCATTCTGCCACCTCCATTAGGAAAACGGCACAGCAGTTACGAGCTTCTTGATAAGAGTAAATTGTTTTCATGTTTATCTTAGTCCTCTCTCTTCAGTCCTCTTGAATAAACATAAAGAACTGATTTCTTAGATCTCCTGTACAAAAAACACCCCCACCAAATCCTCTGAAAGGTCAAATTCCACGTCGCCAGAGCTGTGGGAATTTAATGAAGAGAATACATTTGTGATTCAGGTCTAAGGGGTTTTTTTTATCAACTCCACGAAGCTCTGTTTCAAATGGGGAGTCTACATGGGGAGTCCCCCGTCAGGGATTCTGAGGGAAGAACCCGCTATTGTCAAAGCCGGGACAAGGGGCCAGCACACAGCTCGGGCTGGGCCCTGTGCTGTGGGCATGCTGAGAGGCTCAGAGACTCCATCCCAGGGACCCGTACCTGCGCCTCTCTCAACAGCCTCACGATCGGAGAATGTGAGCTGGGAGAGGAAAGCTAAGGCCAACATGTCTGCTCACTGGCAGCCAAGTACAGGGAGGCAGAGGAGGAGATATGGACAGACATCGTGACCCTGGTGACTGCAGATGATACTCCAGCTGGGCCATTGTACACACCGTCCTCAAAGCAAAGGACAATTTTCCCCCTGATTTTAAGTATGAAGATAAAGAGTTTCATAAAAATGGAGACTGATTTACAAGTATCACTTGAAAAGGAAAAAAAACAACTGGGCACTTAGAATTCATCTTGGCTTTTCATTGCAATTTTGCTTTGAAATATGTCCCTCAAATTCCCTTGAAGGCAAGTGACCCTTGAAGAATGTCCTATCACGTAGTTATGGCAGGAAGCTAATGCCCCTCGGCAAACTAGATGTTCCTGTTAACGTGATACCTACACAGACAGGTAATTTGAACTTTGTACAAAATGTATGGCTTTAATCACTAGGGTTTTGGGCACAAAAAAAAATGACCAGAGTTATAGTCTGCACTTAAGATAAATTTCAATTTATTTTTCAAAAATGTCATTATGAGAATATACTATGTATAGTCAAGTTCACCTTAATCACAATGAAGTCATAGACAAGATAAAAAGAAATAATCCGCATACATAAAGGATATTTAAAATGTCAGCCATATCAAGACTCTATTTTTAAACACTGTATGGCATTTCGCTTTGTGAAAAGGTAATACAGCCCTCAGGAACCCTTTAACCAAATTCAGTATAAACAGGAGTAAAATAAAAACCACTTTTAAAACCTATTAAGTCAAAGCACCTATTTAAATGAAGACTACCAAGCATCTATGAGATTATTTCAGGAGGACAAGGGCTGCACAAGACACTAACTATTATAGGGCTAAGGAAAACATTACAATCATTTCACTAACTTACAAGGCAAATTGAACACTATGAAAAACATCCTTCACAGCACATTTAAAAGTCTGAATTTAAATAATACTCAACAGGAAAGGGGCAGATTCTGTGACAGTGGCTGCGGGATAATAACAAAAGGGTGTGACATCTAAGTGTGGCCCTTTCCAGTCTATTTTTAGAGGTTTAAGACTCCAGCCTTAAATAGTTTTGATAATAATGCTTGTGGCTACAGCTCAGCGTGTAGTCTGGGAGAAAACCAGTTCTTTTCATGCTGTGTCACCTAGTTCGCTGTTTTTTCCCTTTTAAATGAATCCTGAGAGCTTCCTCCTGGAACCCAGCGGGTCTGTAGGGTCTTTCATTCCCTCCTGTTTATGAGCTACCTTGGAACTCGTGAAACTAAAATTAGGCCATAAATTAAAATTAGGTTAAAATTAGGCGATGCATTAAAATCAGGTTAAAATTAGGTGATAAATTCAATCTTTAAAAGTGTTCGTCACTAAAAAAGGAACTATCTTGCTTACTTGGAATACTACTTTAATTGGGAACAGAACACAAATTTCAGAGGGAAGAAGTTCTTGGGTTCACCGAACTATTGTGGAAATGTGTCCTTAAAAGACTTCCATTTTAGGAAGTAACAATTTCTGTGTCATCCGTCCCAAAGCTGAGATGGCTATGTCTGTTAAGAATAGAGGGTTTTCAAAAGTTTATATATATGTAATAATGAATGTACACACACAATACCTATATATGTGTATGTTAGCATGTTTCTATTATGTACACGTATGTACACAACACACGCTCATACACATATCTCCCAGTAACACAGACCCTGTAGTCTGATGAGGCTTGCTTTTTAAAAATTACCACCTTTTCCAAACTGAACTTTTAAATTCTACTCCCGTAACTCAAAATTATAGTAAATCATATTCTAAAGGATTCATTTCAATTTTCAAGAAAAAGAACTGGGCAAACCAAATTACAACAAGATACAAAGGCATATCTAGGGCTGACATACCATCTCCTTCCAAAACAAACAAAAAACCAAACGAGTATTTTAAGACACTATAAAAATTTAACACGCACTGCTTTTTTATTTTCTTAGACAAGGAGGGGAAATTCCTTTCTTAGAGAAATGAGCGGAAGAGACCTAACCTGGCTTTCATGCGATGTGCGTGGGATGAAAGGCTACATTACAGACTCAAGGATAACAAACCAGACTCAGGCCCCCTCCTCCTAAATCCAAACTGTAGATCGCAGTTACAAATCATAGGAACCTATAGGTCTTCAAGGCAATTCTCTGAGCTCTCGGAGAAAGGGAGACAAATACGGGGCCGGGCCCTCATTTATAGGACACCCCAGCTCAGAGGTGGGCTGGCAGTGGGGCAGCCAGCACGCACCCAGCCCAGACCGCTGAGTCCTGGAGCCTGTCATCGCTAGTCCTCACCGGGGCACAGCCGTTGGAGCTGTCACAACTGCTCTTTTCATGCGCACAGCCATTTTAGGCCAGGCAGGTCTGGCCGTCCCCCTCCGCAGCCCCCGCGATTCTCCATCACAAGGTCTCCTTCAGCAGGCCGAGCTTCCGCAGGGCCTCCCGGCGGGCTTCCTCCGTGGAGCCCCGGCCAGCAAACTGCACGGTGATGCCCTGGGGTCGGAACCCCACGGCCCTGGGCAGCGAGCCCGACCGCTTCCTGGCGTGTTGGCTGCAGTCTGCCTGCCAGTGCTCGTACAGGCTCTTGCTGGCGTTCTGGCGCGCAAGTTTACTGGCGTGAGCGGCGTCAGGGCGGATGGTGATAGTTTTCCCAGTCGAGACAAAGGCACTGCGCTCACTCTTGAGGACGTCGTGGACGCTCTGGAAGCCGTTGGCCAGCGGTGGGGACAGCTCTGTCTGCACCCCTCTGGACTGCTGAGTGCTGGGCTGCCCTCCTGCGCGCGCGGACACAGCTTCCTGGACGGAGCCTGGCCTGCTCTGGTCACGCGCCCCCGGCTCCGGAGAGGCGCTTCTCCTAGGCTCAGGGACATCGCTCTTTGGGGCCCGGTCCTCCGACTCTCCCATGGAGAAGAAAGAGACGCCGTTAATGTTGGCCAGGACCCGGGCTTTGCGCTCCTGCACGTTCACCGCCGCCTTGGAGATGGTTTTGTTGAATTCGCGCCCCGCGCTGTTGGTCACGCTGATGTTGCTCGGGAAGCGGTGCGTCTTGGGCGCGGGCTGCGCCGTGTGTCTGGGCCACAGCGAGTGCTCTCCGTTCCCGGGGCCCACGGAAGTCAGTGTCCTCCATTCCCCAGGCCTGCCCTCCTTCGAGGGCGATGTGGGCGAAAGCGCTTCATTTCCTGCCAACTTCTCAGACATCTTCTGGGCGATAACAAGTGGGGTTGGAACCGAGCGCGGCAGTTTTGGGTGCTCGGCAGGAGGAGGAGACAGCAGCTCTTTCCTGGGATGGGCTGGCGCCGCTGTGACGGGCAGGGAGGGCGGTCGAGGAAGAGCCTCGGGAACCGGAACGGTGCCCTCTGGCGGGGGACAAGCCTCCGTATCTTGTGTCCCGCACTGAGGGACAGGAGTGTCTTCCTCTCCCACAGGTTTGGCCCCTAAGAAGTAGGGAGAAGACCCATCAGCTACCCACCTTATGGAAAAATAAAGGCATGGCATTGCCTTTCGCTGAATTGAGAAGGGCCTCAAAGGCACACAATGCCGCCAACATCCACAGAACCTCCTGTAAGCTACACCCCTCTATCCCTGTCCCCTGGACTCCTGACAGAGAACGCAGGACATGATTCTCATAACCACGGGATGGGAACGGATGGTGAGAAGCTGGCAAGTCTGACAGGGCCTGCCAGTACCTGGGAAGCTAATGGTAAAAGCAGGCTTCTAAGGACCCTTCCTCTGAGGCATAAACAGGAGGAAATAGTAACTTATGAGGGGATTTACAAACGGGAAATGGAGGCTGGGAAGGGTGTGTGGCACGCACCAACAGCTCCATCGGTCCTTTCTAGGTGAAGGACTGTTGGACGGGTCACTTTCCTCCATGAAACAAAATGCTCCTCAGCCCCAGGTGGGACTGAATGCGCCAGCCTTGGAGCCTTCACTATATCCGTAATACACATCGATCGCAGGTCACCCAGCACTTGCCTGCACTTGTGTTTATACACCTGTCTCCTGCTGCAAAACCGTGGGCCATTTATTATCATATGTATCTTTGTATTCGCAGAATCTCACACAACACCTGCCACAGAGCAGGCACTTAAAACTGTCATGAAAATGTCATGTTAGAAAATTCAGGGGCAAGGTGGCTGACTTTCAAACTGTGTTTTCCTTGGCACAGTTATATGATCTGACATTTTAAAAGGATCAGCTAGTTCAAATTAATTTTAGGAACTATACTTCAAAGAAGTGTGACAAAAACGGGAAATTCACATTAAGGCTCTTCTTTGAAGAGATGGCTGCAAACTAAGCTCCATTTTGGAATCCATAACCACAGTATGTGAAGCTCTGTGTAATACACAGCCTTGCTTACAAATAAGGAAAACAACATTTCTGGAGGCTCATGACAAATGGCAGTACTTCGTAATCACCAAGGCAAAGATATTTTCCCTTTGGTTTTTTCCTCATCTGTTCCAAGCCTTCTCCCCTTGACCATATTTATTTCCAAATAGGAAATCAAATAGGAAGACAGATTTCTCCTTGTCCTCCATGCCATCACAGGGCTTGCTGGGCAGAGAGCACACCGCTCCTCTCACACCGCCTGCACTCAAGCAAAGGTACCGAGCACAGGCCGAGCTGAAGTTTTATCCTGATCTTTTCCTGTTTTCCTGAACCAGCTGACTTTTTGGTTCTAATATTCCCACCTTGGAAAGTCATGTTATAGAAATAAGGCTATATAAGCTTGCACAAAAATTGAAATTTAAAAACGTCAAGGGCTAAAATACAAGTACCTTGTATGTTTTCTTTATCGAATGAATTGTTACCTGAAAGCCATTTCCAATTTTCTTTTATTTATATATCTATATCTCTCTCTATATGTAATCTATCTGTCTGCTCAATTAGTTTCATTCTTAATTCTTGCCCTAGCCCTCTGGGAATTTTCCTTCCTGTGTTGTCATCCTAATATGCTAAGAAAGCATCTCTTTGGCTGGATGAACTGAAGAGGATGCTCCTGCCCTGTGCTGACCTCATCATCCCCACAGGGCAGAGCCAGGACACTGCAGTGGAGGACAGTGCTGGTGTCTCATGAAACACTACCAGCCCGGGCGGAGGGCGGGGACCCGTGCTTCCCTCCTCACCTGCTGCCTCAGTCACATCCGGAAGGCACTCCGGCTCCCTGGCCGCACGTCCTGGCGGCACGAGGTCGATGACATCCTCTGGCTCCGAGTGATTGGAAGCGCTCCCTTCCAGAGAGCGTGGGGAAAGGCAGCGTACCCTGCTGTCACACAGCACTTGCTCCTCTAAGTCATCCTCCAGGGAATCAATAGTCTCTTCAAAGAAGAGAATGACATCTTTTTCCTCATGTGTGAGAAACTTCAGGCTCTCATCGTCCTATACAGTAGGTTTGGGGGTGGAGGAGGTAAAACAAAGAGTGGTTTTGCTGAAGAGAAAGGACCATGGCCACGTCGGAATCAATACAGAGCCCAGGGTAGGGTTCACACACGCTAAGACTTCCCACATGGGGAGGTCTGCCATTCAGGTTACCTCACGGACAAACCCGTGCCCATGTGTCTCTCACCCCTTTACCTGCATGAAAACGAAGGCTGTCAATAGGTGTAGAAGAGAAGGATATAGACCCTATTATCAGCGCTAGCCTCGCGGTTCCCCAAGTTGAGGATGAGAAAGCAATGCCCCTTCAAGGCTTCCCCGTGAAGGCTGTTGGCGACTTACTGCTCTGCTCTCAGACACACTTACTTTTCCCATGAGAGCATCATGGGAAATCTCTGGTTAAAGATGATTAACCAGAGATCATATATTGATTTCTTCCTCCAGAAACCTTACTAAAACAATAATGGGATTTATTATTTTTTTAAAGGCACAAATCACAAAGACAAAAATAATAGGAAAAGAGATGACAGCAACAAAAATTGGGAAGTTAAGACAGCAGGACAGGTGTAACTGACTCAGAAGACCCAAGAAAGGTGAGTTTTACTCAGCGGTAGGGAAAGCCAATAATCAACCTGCTGAGTACTGTAGGCCCCTGAATACTGGATGGCCCCCTGAGTACTTGAGCTCCCCCAAGTACTGGAGGGCTCCCCCAAGTATTGGAGGGCCCCCCTGAGTACT